TTGAACTACCAACATTGCGGTTCAAACTGATCTTACGGTCCAGAAAGGTCAGTTTGAAGAGGATGTTATTCACCAGGCTGAGTAAGTGATGAAATTCATTTTGAACTCCTGTACATGGCAGTGAGTTTTTTGCTCTGAAAGATTTACAAATGACACCACCACCACCACCCCGCCTGCCACCCCCACCGTCACAGTGCGGAAGTGGTAAGTAAAGACTTAAGCAGCCCAACACACACAAGAAATCTTTGTTCTTGGGGAGGCTGGAGGGGGAGTTGGGTGGGAGGGGCTCATTAGTCACCCAAGTGGGAGGGGAGAGAGGTAGAGAAGCAGATGGGACACACTGGTAGACATGGGAAGTGGGAAGTCCAGCCAAGGAGCACACTGTGGAAACTGTACCTATTGGAATAGCACATTATCTTAAACAAATTAAAACAATCACCAAAGAGAGAAGCTTATTTAAGGGGGGGGTTGTGGAGAAGTGGAAGGGACAAGAACGTCTGGGGAATTAAAACAATCCCGTGGTTACTGGAAAATAGCTATCTCTTTTAAAAAATTTTTTTGGGGGAAGCGTTTTTAAGGTAATATTTACTTTCCCTTTGGAAAAAGAAATCTTTGCCCTGCCCTAGCTTAAGCAAGTGGAGTTGCCACTGCTTACTTTATCTTGGAGACCTGGTGTGGAGCTGAGCCACAAGGTTAGTGGTTCAAACATACCAGCCATTCCTCAAAAACCCTATACAGGATTACTGTGCGTCAGAACGACTCGAAGGTACTTAACAACAACTTCGTCTCTAGAGAAAACTCCCATAAAGATTTACAGCCTCAGAAACCAAATACCAGGTTGCTGTGAGTCAGAACTGACTTGAGGACACCTAACAAGACAAAATAAAAGTGAAATGCCACCAAGTGTGTTCTGACTCAGGGGTGAGGGACGTCCGGCCTGTGGGCTGAGGGCTGTGAAATCATTTGGTCTGGCCCTGCCAAGATAACTGCAGTTCCAGCCATCACAGTGTTGTTGTTGTTGTTGTTGTTGTTAAGTGCTGTCGAGTCTGTTCCAACTCATATCGACCCTATATAGGGTTGTTGAGGAACAGCTTATGGATTTGAACCACCACTTTGCAGGTTTAATTGGCCTTGTGGGCCAGTATTTATCCTACAGTACCACACCAGGATTCTTGCCATCACACTGTTGTTGTTGTTAAGTGCCATCAAGTGGATAAGTGGGAGGGCCTCCAGAAGACTTGGTTTTCCATGGGTGGGCATCTGTTCCCCTTCCCCTGCCTGCCTGCCTTTATACTTGTGTTTAATTAAACAAGCCCTCAAAAAAATAAAGCAAACATGGAGGGGATTGTAACCATGGCAGTGAAACGATCTACGATAGGATGAATGTAAAGCTGATGTTCTTCCATGTAAACTAGCACATAATTCACATTAAAACATTAAAACAAAAACCTATGGAGCACTTCTATTCTGCAAACCTGGAGTGACCATGAATCTCAACAGACTCCAGGGGAACTAAGAGAACAGCAGCAGTAGTAAGCTAGGAATGCCGTAACAGTCCTAACCCTCCTCATGTTACCTAACTGACTGTGATCTTAGATGGCCTCGGGTAAAGAAGTTCTGGAACCAGGGCAGAAGTTGTACCACATCACTGTTGCTATTAAGCGCCTTCAAGTCAGTTCTGACTCATAGTGACCCTGTATAGGGTTTCCGAGGAGCAACTGTTGGGTTTGAACTACCGCCTTTGAGTTTAGCAGTCCAGTGCTGATCCTACAGTGCTACACCAGGACTCTCACATGAATGCACTTACTGCCACACAACTGACACTTTCAAGTGGTTTATAATCTAAGTTTGTGTTTCTTGGGTTTTCTTGAAAGAGAAGGTAGAGGGCTAGACTCCAGATGTTGTGGTGCGCTCCGTCAGAACCAAATTCTTTCTTTGCACTTGTATTGTCCCCTCATACCACAGCATGTCCTGGTGTGGCGCTTTGACTTAATGCGCCAGACTGCAAAGCCATTTGAACTATAAGGTCGGTGGTTAAGGATCACCAGTTGCTCCTTGGAAACCCTATACAGGGTCGCTATGGGTTGGAACCGACTCAATGGCACTTAACAACAACAACAACCCCACAGCATGTGATTGGAAAAGGAACAGTACCATTCCAGGAAAGGCCTCTGTTCTGTGTTTTCCTTAAATGCGTTTTATCTTCAGAGTAGTTACAAATGACACTGATGATACACTTGCTCTATAATCTGTTTAGGGGTTGTGGCGATACAAATAGATAGATAGATTTATTTATAAATATGTATATAGAGAGTACTGGTGTGGGACTGCAGGTTAATGCGCTGGACCCCAAGGTTGGCTTGAAAGTAGTTCCAGCTCACCAGCCGCTCCTCAGAAACCCTATACAGGGTTGCTATGGGTTAGAACCTCAGAAACCCTATACAGGGTCGCTGTGGGTTAGAACCTCAGAAACCCTATACAGGGTCGCTATGGGTCGGAACCGACTCGACGGCACGTAACAACAACAACATATATCTCTGGTAGCGTAGTGGTTACGAATCGGGCTGCGAACCTTAAGGTCAGCGGTTCGAAACTACCAGCTGCTGCGAACCTTAAGGTCAGCGGTTCGAAACTACCAGCTGCTCCGCGGGAGAAAGATGAGGCTTTCTACTCCCGTAAAGATTTACACCCTCGGAAACCCTATACAGGGTCGCTATGGGTCGGAACCGACTCGATGGCACATAACAACAACAACATATATATATATACATAATATTTGTTGTTATGTGCCGTGGAGTCAGTTCTGACTCATAGTGACCCTGTACAGGGTTTCCAAGGCTGTAAATCTTTACAGGAGCAGAAAGCTTCATCTTTCTTCTGCGGAACAGCTGGTAGTTTCGAACTGCTGACTGTGAGATTAGCAGCCCGATTCGTAACCACTACGCTACTAGAGCTCCATCTATATCTATCTCGATGTGAAATACTAAAGGATTCTTTGGGCAAAAGATTGAATGATACAGAATACATCAAAGAAGATGGATGGAATACACAAATTTACTGTACCAAAAAATAAATGGTGGATGTTCAATCATTTCAAGAGGTAGCATATAATCAAGGGCCAATGGAACTGAAGGGAGAAGTCCAAGGAGCACTGAAGGCATTGGCAAAGAACAAGGCTCACAAATTGAAAACTCAATAAACGGATGCAGCATTGGAGGCCCTCACTCATCTAGGCCAAGAAATTTGGAAGACAGCAACCTGGCCAACTGACTGGAAAAGATCCATATTCATGCCCATTCCAAAGAGAGGTGACTCAGTGGAATGCCATTGCATTAACAGCACATGCAAGTAAAATTTTGCTAAAGATAATTAAAAATGTCTACAACAGTACAGGGAGCTGTCAGAAGTTCAAGGTGGATTCAGATGAGGACATGGAATGAGGGATAACATTGCAGATGTCAGATGGATCTTGGTTAAAAGCAGAGAATACCAGAAAGATGCTTACTTGTGCTTTATGGACTACACAAAGGCTTTTAACTGTGGGAATCATCACAAGATATAGACAACATTGGGAGAGTGAGTATTCTGGAACACTTAATTGTGCTCATGAGGAACCTGTACACAGACCAACAGGCAATCATTAGAACAGAACAAGGAGATACTGAATGGTTTAAAATCAGGAAAGGTGTGCACTAGGGTTGTATTCTTTCACCATACTTAATCAATCTGTATGCTGAGCACACATAATCTGAAAAATTGGATTATATGAAGAAGAACGTGGCATCAGGATTGGAGGAAGACTCATTAACAACCTGTGT